CATAGGTCCCAGCCTAGTGTCACATAGTGAAATCGTTAAGCGATAGGTTCCTGGGCGCTAGATGTAAGGGGGGTGTGGGGATAATCTGCATAGAGTATGTAATGTACTGACTTGTATGAGTCCTTAACTGCAACTGTAAAATTGGTATAAGGAATTTATTAATAAAGAAGAAGCGGTCACCGTACTTGCACCTTATAAAAAAAAAAAATAAAAAAAATAAAAACTATTGCTATTTAAACCAATAGTTTTAACACTAATCCTTCCAATTTTTTCATCCTTTAATTGTTAAAATCATGCCTAGAGAAAATCACATCTTTAAAACTATTCGCTTTACTCATTTCAATCACAAAGACCCTTTCTAGGAAACTATAGTAATATTCCAAGAAAGGGTTAAAATTTGGAAATGTTTGGCACATTGTGGAGAAAGGTTCAAAAACTTGGAAGAAGAAGTTACCAAATTAAAAGCAGACTTAAAAATACTTTCCGATGCTCTCTTCCTTTACTGTCATAATAGGAAATTAGAGTTGGAAAATTTGAATTTGAAAAATAAGATGGCTCGATTAGAAGGACTTCTCTAACTGTTAGAAACTCCAGTTCCAGCTCTTTTTAATAGGTTCTTTTCTACCTTTGAATTCAATTAAAGGTTTACTTTTCTTCCTATTGGTTTCAAGTTTTTCCTCTTTTATTATTTGTGAATTTATCATGAAAAATGCAGTAGTCACTGAGTATGCTTTGTGGGCCAGTTGTAATAGATAGTAATTGCTCTATAGGCCACTTTCATTACACTGCATTTTTTGTTTGTTTCTCTTAGTGCTTTTAGATTTCTTTTTCTATTCAAGGATTCAATGATGCTTGTGTTTGGGCAAGTTGAGAACTGGGTTACTATGATATCTACATTCCTGTCATGTAGCCTGGATACTGTAATCCATACAGTAGCTAAAGGATACCCTCCACTTTTCAATATTTCAACAAGAATGTAAAAATAAGAAATTACTCATGTAATTATAAGATATAATAATAATAAAGAAATAAAAATAAAAGTAAACTAATAAAACCTATCCAAATAATTATTCAAAAATTGTTTATATAAATTATATAATTTGAATACTATAGCCTCAAATACCAATCTGCTTCAAAGATAATATTACCTAGGATGCTATGGCTGATTAGTCCTTAACCGGCATATGCTATGGATTCTTATTTCTAGGAACCAAGGTCATCTACAGCTATATCTGAATCCAATACTATTCATTCATATAAATCACAAGAAATAAAAGATCAAAAAGGTAATAGGTATTTTCAACTATTTGTATAATTTCAAAAATAAGAACCACTATATTAATAAAAAGAAAAATAAAATAAAATAAAATATTTTTTTTCACTCAAAAATTTTCTCTGATTTTTTCGATTTTTTTTTTTGCTTCTTTCAAAATAAAATAAAAATAGAAAAATAAAAGTACTGATCAATCAGGTAAAGATAAAGGGGAATAATTGATAATCAATTGATTGAAGTAGAAATTAAAAGTAAAAATAAACACGGTAAGCTAATCTAATGTCATTGTTGAATAAATCCTAAACTATACTTAAACTAACACTATCTCCTTTTTATCCTATTTTCCTATCCATTCATTCCATTTTTTTTTTCACAATTTTTCTTCTCCTCCTTGCTTGCGAGTACTACGAGCAATCATCACCCATAACACATATTACGATTTTTACTTTTTCACTTACACCACCATCCCTTTTTTGTGCTTGCTTTAATAATGATGTGGTTGGTACGTATCTTTGTCGGTTGAACTTTTGTTGTGTTTTCTTTTCGCGCTCTCTTTCCTTCCATCCTTCTGTGCACCAACCGGCCTTCCTGCTAATGCTACCAATACGTCACATTATTCCTGCACACTCAAATTTCGAGACAGTTCCATTGGTTATCAGAACCATCATGACAATAATCATCATTGTGCAGTATATTAGTTTTGCAATGACGTCTACGTATGCTATCATTAATTTCATAAGTGTATTCATCTGTCACTACTATTTTTTGTACCTGGGTGCCCATAATTTCCTCGCATTAATCACTACTATCCCTCTCTTCATTTTATCTTCCGTTTTATCCTTATCAGGAGGGTCATCAGTTATTGTCCCTCCATCCTCGTGACATCCCCATCCACCTCCACTCACATCAGGTCTTCCATCAGTAAGTTCATATATGTCACCATACTTCCCATCACCAATTATTAACTCTCAATTCACTTTTCTTTTAAGTCCACCCAGGTCATCACAACTTATGATCGTGATGACACTGGTTGATACCAACACTACTTTGTCCCCATCATCTTGATGGTTATTATACATGCTGATGGTCATATCCTTTTTCCCATAGTATCGCTCCCACCAATGATCTTTATCTGCTAATTTGTCATCATTTGTAGATTTCTCTTTCATAACTTCATCATTTCTGCTGTCCTCAAGGTTTCATGGTTCCCATGTATTTACAAACATCGTCCCTCCTTTGTTTTATGCTTTGTTTTATCCTCAGGGGGATGGGCATCCTGCTCATAGATCGTGATTTATTCTTTATCACGATACCTCATTTCTACTCCATTCGCGTCAGAGTGTAGTTTAATGCCAGGTTTATCATGATTTTCCTCGTTCAGGAGACTATCCTTTCTGCACATTTCTTCGTAGTTCAAGTTGTATAATGCTGGCTGTTCCTTCATTACCTCAGCATCTTGTTCTTTCACAACTATCTCTATTAGCTCATATTGTTCTTCTAACTGATCTTCACCCTTCTCCTCAGTTTCATTTATCTTTTCTGGATTCTCTTTGGTCGCTGCTGACGTTTCTTCCAATTGGAAGGAGTACGCTACAGGACCTGGAATCACTGGTCATGCTTCATCATCAAAGTTGGAATTATCATTCATCTTTCTTATCACTTCCCTTTCGCCATTCTCTTTTCTTGTCTTTCCTTTATTTCCTGACTTTTTGTTCTGCCCAGTGTTTCCGTTGGGTCCCTTATTAACAATCTCGTCAGTGAGTGCCTTCTTGATCTTATTGTTTGAGGTCAGGATCTTCGCTGGATACCACTTAGCGGTCTTCTCCCTACTGCTCCTAATAATGTTTGCCTCCTCTTCAGATACAGACATATTATTATAATCTTTCTCATACTTACGGTACCCTTTATTTCTTTTTTTGGTCACCGCTTTCGGGTTGCTTATGGCAGAGGTGGTAACTTGGTAATATTTTTCCTTCACTTCACACATTTGTTTTCTTAATTCTCGCATGCGATCTAACCTCTTGGTCTTTTGTAGTTTCCTTTCAGCTTCAGCTTCAGTCTCCATTGCTGCTCTGATTACTTTCACTGAATCAATTGCATTTACAATAGTGGGTAAAGGCAATATGTCCTTCCGTAGTCCTATCACCAGCAACTATTCTGCCAGTTTCTTGTAGTAGTTTCTCTTGGAGTATACCTTCTCGAGTAGCCTTGCAAATCTATAGGCATATTCTATCACCTTTTCATTTTTTTTCTGTTCTATATTTTCTAATTCTTTCTGCCACTGGCATTGTTGTTTAAGCATCTGCACGAATGTTGGTGTGAAACTTCCTTCGCGGTCGTATTCATTGTTCCAATAGGCAAAATGGCTCTAGTTCTTCTTGTACCATTCTAATGCATCCTCTTTTAAGTACTTACCTATTTTTCTTAGTTTTTCGTCATCCGTCAAGTTGTTTTGTTCGGCGGCTTCGTCATAGAGCCTTATTCACAATCGTGGATCTCCTTCTACTCTGTCTTCGAACTTTCAGATTTTTGTCCTCTGGGTCTCCTTCCCTTCTTTCTTTAACCTTGCTATTTGTCCTCAGTCGGCAAGCACCTTTACTGGTTTTCTCTGGAGTTTTGATCATAGAAGGGTATGGGAAGCTCTTTTATCATCTGTGTCACATATGATTTCAATCATGATGCCATTGATTATTAATATTAATTAGGGTGTCACATGTATTGCAAATGGGCCTTAACGTCTTATTTCAGCAAATGTTTGTTTTTATCAAACAATAGTTAATTAAATCTTTTATTTTTGGATTTGCACAAAAAATATCGGATAATGAGTGTCATGTATGATTATGCTGCTATATATGGGAAATGCATATATGCTTGTCTGTTTCATTATTAATTGTTGTTGCTTATATTCAATAAAGTAAAAAAAAAATATATCGGGGTGTAGTATATAATCAAGATCATAAATGTCACGTATTAAAGTATTGTGTGTGGAAAGTCACTATAAAAGAAATTGGGGGATAACAAGTGTCATTGATAGTATTCTATCTTACAGTCATCACCAAAAATGTTGTGATGAAATCACAGCGAGTCAGTTGCTTCGATCTGTTTCATGTTATGTAACGATCAGGGCAGTTTTTGCTCAAAAGAGGTGTGTGAATTTGGCCAGAGTTTGTAATGCTGACACATATCAGTCCATCAATCTTGCGTCCTCAATGGTTACTTCACACGCAGCAATTCCATTAGCTATATGATGCTGGGGTCAATCACAAGGTAATAGTTTATCAAATAAAGATGGTTTTATTTAACAGTTGCATAGTACCTATTCTGATTCTTTTCATTTTTTGATCATTCTTAGGTCACTGATATACTTACCCTTATAATTTTCTATAATCTATCCATTATTTTTTCCTATAACAGTATATACTGTTTTATAATATTTACAAGTAGCTTTTTTGTTATTTTTAAAATTTAAACTTTTTATAAAATATTCTCATGCTTAGTTTTTAGAAATTATTGAAATAATTAAAGTAGATTCTAATAAATTTCTTATATCAATATTGTCATTATCATTATTGTTATTTTTATTTATTTATTTATTTATTTTTTTAAAGTGCATCAGCAATAATTGTCTGGCTGAGTATTTATTCTTAATAACAATGTTTACATATATCTTTTGACATTACTATCTAGGACTATGCTATAATGTATCAGTTGTTAATTATATCCAACATTTATCAGGATTGTTCCAAATAATAACGTTTGCTGTAGCTTGTTCCTAACTATATTAGATATGGAGGCTAATTTACTGAACAAAGGTAATCCTTTGTTGGATCAGTAGTATTGTTAAAGTGAAAAATGAACTATCTAAATAATGAGAAAAATAAAAGTAAAATGAAGTAGAATATAAAAAGT